GAATTCTGAGATCAAAGTCAGAATTCTGAGATCAAAGTCAGAATTCTGAGATCAAAGTCAGAATTCTGAGAAAAAAGTCAGAATTCTGACTTTACTCCCCATATTAAACTGAAATAAAATTAAAAAATCAGTAAACTTTTTTTTTTTTTCCAGTGGCCCTAATCCTCTTCCGTAGTTGACCTATCACTAAAATCCAAATAAAATGTATGGTCTTATAATGGGACAAAAAGCTCTTAGGATACAGACGTGCAAGCTGCCATTTGAGGTGTGTACGTTTTAGATATCTGCTTTACTGAATCACATCAATCAAACATATTTCAGCTACAGTATTTTATTCAACAAATTCAGACATTTAATAACACATCGTTACAACGTAAAGAAGCTATGTTTTCTAATAAACTACAGCAATACATGAAATAGCATATTTATATTAACCAGAGGCATTGCCAAACCTCTCAGGTGCTAAAAAGAGCTTTTCTCCTCATCCAAACTGCATTTAGACGGCAACACAGAGTAAGTGTGACCGCCTTCCACGGGTCCTTTTCTGTCCTTTGTCGGGTTCTAAGTGTTGAGAGGGGACTTTCTTTTATCCTCAAGGTGTGAAGAAAAGTCTTAAGAGAGTACTCAAAGCCAGGGTGTCAGCACTGCAGAGGGAAAGGGGGGAGTCCTTTCAGGAGGTCCCAAGTTGCAGGGGCCCTGAGGAGTCGGGGCCCCGCTGATAAGAAAAAGGAAAAACTCCACCCATCAGTGCACGTATAAAGTTTTTGTGGTATCCAAAAGATCTCTGGGTGTGTTCATTGTTGCTCCATCTGCTGGAAATGTTAACTTGTTTAGTGAATTGGTTTTCTAGCAAGAATATAGAAGAAAAGATGTAGAGTTGCTGCACCACAGTAAGAGCGAATAGAAGATCCAGGTCCTCCACAGCTGGGTTTGGTCCCTTTAATAAAGATGGAAATCAGCACATGGCAAAGGTGAGTCCTTAAGACTTTCAGTGCGTGTCAGTTGGCAGTTCTTTGATTGGGTTAAATAAGTCCACAAGGGCTTCAGTGGTGTTGTAGGGTGGAGTTTTCTCTTTCTAAGGGTGGGGGTGGGTATTCCACATTAATAAAACCCCACAAATCCCGCTTCCAGGGAATCCAGGCTGCAGCTGCAGACCTCTCCTACCAAGGTCTCCACATACTCTGAGGGTACGTGACGGTGGGCATGCTTGGAGCCTCCCCGCCCTCCACTCCCTCCGTGGAGCTGTGGTTGTGCTCGCTGTCCGTCTCGTCCAGATCCGAGGACGATTCGTCCGTTGAAGAGTTGGGGAGGGCCGGGGTCAAGCAGAGTCCATCCACAGCTCCGATCCAAGTGCTGCCATCGGTGCCTGGAGTGTCCGTGATCAGGTCCATCAGCACGTCCTGGAGGTGGTCCTCATTTAGGGGCATGGACTCAAGCAGGTGGTTGAGGAGCTCGGCCGCCACCGTTGCATCTATGCCCGGGCAGTTGGACACAAACATGTGGACCTCATGCATGCACTGGATGTAGCCGGCTGCAAACCTCTCGCTGGCCTCTCGGCTCAGTGCTTCAGCCTCTGTGGGAGGAGAGTTGAAGAAAACGGTTAAGCTTAAAGCTCTGCATGCAGTGAATCTGCAGTCTAGACAAGTCATTTTTTCTTAAAATAAGTGCACTTGTTCTTGGACAAAGGAGGTAAAAGAGACACTTTGCCAATGGAACAAGACAATTTCACTTAAAATAAGAAAACACAATTGCATTGTCTTATTTCAAGTGCATATTATCTAATNACACTTTGCCAATGGAACAAGACAATTTCACTTAAAATAAGAAAACACAATTGCATTGTCTTATTTCAAGTGCATATTATCTAATTATCTTATTTGATTCCATTGGCAAACTATCTGATTTACCTCCTCAAATTAAGGGTAAATACACTTAATCTAAGAGATTTTTACTTATTTTTAGATCATTTTTCCAGTGTATCCATTTATGTTGCCGTGGTATAAAATACTCTTAATGAAACGCCAAAGAACGGACCAGATGGACTGGAGTTTTTTCCATATAGTCAATGAATAAAGCATCAGTATCACCCCCTCCCCACCTGTTACCATGCACTGCTTGTCAGCTGACTGAAATGAGATGATTGTAGAAATAATCTGGAAAATCTTACCAATCAAAACTCTGACAATACATAAGCATTACTCACACTGTTGTTGGGGTAGCTGTCCTTTTGGTTGCAAAAAAAATCCAAAAAATAATTATTTATCTGATAGCAGCGTAATTTTAGGACATCATCAGGTTTCCATAAAAATCTCTTAGTTTCAGGTCATAGTTCTCAGGAAACGACCGAGCTCTTTTCTTTTTTTATTTAGAGAGATCTTAACGTAGCAGTTATTTAATTTTAACAAAGGAGGATGATGTACGACACCTTTGCGGTGTTAATTTTCTTCAAAACAAATGGAAAAGCCACAGATTTGCATTTCTTTTTTTTTTGAACCTCGCTTAAAATTTGGATTTCATTTAAATGGAAACAGCTCTATTGTAGGTAAAAGGGGGCTGGTCAACAATGGTGGACAAATGTCTCAAAAATTGTGATTATAAATCCATAAATAACTGTTTCTTTAAACCAAAAAAAATCCTGGGA